AAATAGTTAACGCGATCGAACGCGCAACACCTAAGAGTTGATAGGAATGAAGACCTCGGAAAGAAAGAGAAAGAGGAGGTACGGGCCTCAAATATTCCGATGGACACGAGTACTATAGGCACAGATTCAAGCGACAGATAGGAGGTGCAGTAAGCGCAGATCCTTGCCATCTGCTCAAGTATAGATATTACCGTTAAATACCTTCCGATTCTAGAATACAAAATAAGCTACATCTATCTGTCCCGAATGCTGAGGGGTACGTGACACAAATCCGGCATATCTTTAACTTTCAAGGAAGATCGACTTGGGTTAGAGGCGGCTGGTCTAGCGGAGCGGGGGAGCATTAAACACAACATTGTACATATATGTATGCTCTTGAAACGTTCAGCCCTTCCTCTTTGGGTTTCATCCCTTGCTGCCTTTTGATCGCTGGGTAGAACTCAGCACGCCGCTCAAGCCCTCTAGGGCTAGGTTGTTCCAAGGTTTGACAGGTTTCCTACATGTAGGTAATCAGGGATGATTTCTAAGGTTCCATAACAATCTTGGATGGACAGACCCTGAAAAGGGATTTGATGTATCAAGTCCCAACCCAACGCCATTCCAGTATCTCAATATTCAAGAAATTCATCGCTTTTCACAAGCAGGTCTCCGGAATGGAGCAGGAAATAGCCCACGTGCGTACCCAACTATGTAGACATATTGTAGCGAACTTACTTTATACTTACATAGGGATATGTATACTGATTATAATATATGTCCCTACAGGGTCGGAAATACCATTACACTGCATCTTAAATTGCCATATAATAAACAAACAACGAACGCTAGAATAATGAAGGACATGCAAGGAAAGATTATCCCTCAACTATTTGCGCGCCTCACATCCATAGACAGCCTGCATCAATCAATATGCTGATGTCCAAGGAATCCTCGTACAGTATATCGAGGGGTTTCCTCTGTCCGACATTCGTATGAAAGCGCCCAGAGAGAGCTGGCAAAGTATAGGCGAAGACACCATTCGAATTTTCGATCTCCTATATGCTCATGGAATTTTACTTAGAATGTAGGCTGAAAGGCGGATTTTTTAACACTCGGTCTGCTTTGTACGAAAAGCTGGATGCTGATTACTCAAGCTGAGTGCTGTACCTAGTATCCATCGGTATATATGTGCTTTTTTGTTTCTCCACCAAGAGCACGTACTTGGTTCCACTCCAATTGCGATAATTACTTGATAATTGGTAGTTACATCACTCCCTACCCAGGTGAGCAATTTATAGATCCATAATCATTTCTAAGCCCGTTCTGACATCTACCCCCGTGAAACACCCTCATAAAAGCGGCGACAGACTCGGTAAGAAACCCCCATTAATCCTATCTACATAAGTACATAACAGGAAGCTAATACAAGGATCAGATGACTGTGAAGATAGGCATTGGCGTAAGCATGCCCGAAACAAGCATGGCGCCGCACATAATTAGAGTCCTAGGCTATTCTGCACAGATAGCTGTGGCTGATCTGAGTGGGCGATAAAGGTAGGAAGAGATAGGGACGCACGGGTGTAGGACGAAGCTTTTGCTTATCTTGGCGTGTTACGTTTATTAAATCGCCATAGACGGAGACATATGTATCATTCTTTTGTCTTGGATGTGTTAGATTATCTCAGGTCGGCAGTTTTGACTGTCTTCCATTGTTCCTGTGAAGGTGAGATATGTCGAAGAGTGTGGGGTAACGGGGAACCTTGGAACGCTATAAAGTGCGGAGAAACTCAATTCTATGACTTCCACGGCTTTAGAGGGGTACATGCACTTCCCGCTTTAAGATCTTGTTGACTTCTATAAGTTTCAAACGCGTTTACAAAAGCTCATACAGTCAGGTCATGTATGGGTGTATGGGAGCCAAAATGCACAAAAAGCAAAAACATTAACGAGAATGCAGACCCAAACAAGGCTAAATATACACCCAGATCAAAAAAAAAAAAACAAAATGCAAGTGCACTTCCAAGGTATCATCATCTCAAACCGCACCAGGCCCAGGTCCCTTATAATTCGACTGGTCCAGCAAAAGCGTGGGCTTGATATAGTCCTCATCGAGTTGACGGAACCAAGCCGCATGGTCGCCCGTAGCACCACCCGAAAACAGACCCCGTACTGCATCCCGTGCAGACATACCTACTGGCTGGTGAGTGGGCGAGACGCTGGTCGATGCCGCTGCATTGGTAGGTGGGGCGGACGAAGGGTGAGGTGGCTGGGAGGCGGATCGGCGGAGACGGGAGGCTCCGCTTGCAGCCGGTGGGAGGTCGTCGTCGGAGATGCCCTCGATATCGAGGTCGAACTCGTCTGGGTGGGTGGGATCGTTGGAGCGGCCGGGCCCCGCGGGTGGTAGGCCGAACTCGTCGTCGCTGCCTTCGCCGGCGCTCGGCCCAGCTGCGCCGTTGAGTAATGTCGCGGCGGATTGACGGTCGCGCCAGGACTGGTCTTTGTTGCTGTACGCGGCGGAGTACATTCTTGTGTGGGTATAGGGTGGGCTTGGGCGGCGACTGTTGCCGCTGGAGTAGCTGTGTGTTCGCTCACCGGGGTCAGCGCGTGGAGTGGTGGTGACCCCATCCAAGGGGATCACCGAATCGGTGCGTCGTGGGATGTATCCCAAACTCGTGCCGGAGCGCTTGTAGTACGTGCCACCATGGGTCACCTCGGTGTCGAATTCATCGTCCGAGTCAAGCTCTTCGACTACACCCGTTCGAATACCCAGAATCTCCAACATGCGTGCCGTGGTTCCGCCGAAGATGATGACGGTTAGCACAACGACAACAAGTACTGTCGCACGAAGTGCAGGGGCGTTGACTCCTGATAGACCAGCTGCTAGCGCAACACCAACAGCACCACGCAATCCAGCCCAGAAGAGCATCGCTTGATAAGCGAACGGCAGCTCGTCGGGAACTTCCACGCCACGGCGGCGTGCTCGGTACCGAATGAACCAATTGATAGCTTTGGAAAGCGGGAACACCGCGAGGTAGCGGGAGAGACAGATACCAAACACTGCCACCATGATGAACAAGGGGTTGAACTGGAGGTTCGGCTCCACGAAGAGGTCAAGGCCGAGGTAAATAAAGATGAAGTTCTCTGAAAGTTGAGCCATCACCTGGAACAGGTACTTGGTGGTCAACTGCGTGCGACGCGACATGTTATAGTAAGCATAGTGCTTGAGGGTGATACCACAAAACAAGAGCGAGACAATGCCGGATAGGTGCACGCCATTGGAGAAGAAGTAGCTGGCATATGCAACCAAAATAATCAAGCAGCTTTCGATCTTGGGCAAGCGCCGCACGAGGGTGTATTTGAGACCCAGCGCGGTAGCGATTCCAACCAGCATTCCGACAACCATGCTACCAAAGAAGACGAGCAAAAAGAGCCCCACAGCCTCGAATAGATTGAGGAAGGTCAAAGAGCCAGCCGCACCGGTCTCCTGATACCTCTGCGCCGTCTCGAAGAGCACGATGGCAATGGCATCGTTCAAGATCGACTCGCCAAAAATGATAGTATAAAGCTTCGGCTCGACCTTGTACATGTTGAAGATAGCTAGGATGGTGACCGGATCCGTAGCGGAGAGAGTTGCGCCGACCGAAATAGCCTCGACGAAAGAGATATTCAGCCCACTAAACGGGACCCGTGTCCATAGGTACAGCACTAGACCGAGCACGAGCGCGGATATAAAGGTACCGGCGAAGGCGAACGTGAGAATCGTGCCGATATGTCGGAAGAAGTTCGCCTGGTGGAGCTCATAACCAGAGGCAAGAATAATCGGAGGAAGGAGGAGGTTGAAGAAAAATTGGTAGTCGAAGGCGACGCTGTCTTGGAGGGTGGAGTCTGTGAAACGGATGAGTAGTCCAACGAACATCCCTGGCGACCGTTAGCAAAACCGTACCAATTTGCGCAGACCGCACGAAGTTTTGGATATTTCCAGATCAGGCCTGCGCCACTCGAGGATATCACCTACCTGCAAAAATTGATAGAACCGTCTCATGGACAGCTTGTATCTTCCTCTGCTGAAGGATGTAGCTCGTGAAGAGGGCGAACATCAACAACATGATCATGATAAACAATGCCCAGGAGCTTGTGATCTCCTTGGACCCTGCCTCGGGGGAATCTATAGTTCGCCATACTGGTTAAATCTCCGAAGCTGAATAGCGCTATATCGCGACAAGACGAGGGGGGAGGGATGAGGGTGAGTTCAGGCACGCGTACCATCGGGGTCGGAGTCTTCAGCGGCTCTCCCTGGAACAGAAATAGATATGTTAGCTCGCAGTCCAAACGGGAAATTAAAGCGCAGCGTCAAGACTGTCGATCAGAGGGACATACGAAGCAGGGCGTGTAAGCCATCGTTCATAAATTGGCTAGCCATCGCGGCTCACGCCTTGGGAAGTATTAAGGGCCAGGGCGGATGACTGGCAGTTCACTCCCACGGTAAAATTGAGATGGCAGGACCCGGCGCACATAATCCACGAGGAGATGGATAGCGAGAGGTTGCGACAAGGTCGAATTGGGTTAGCAGTAAATAGGACACGGACTGTTTAAGTTGCATCAGAGGGACACATATGAGGTCAGGTACGGAGTTGTACAACACAGAATACGGCAGGGCTGCCTGGAGTCAAATTGGTGGTAGAATTGGAAAGTTACAACCGATAGCGTAAGATATGTTGCGTATTGGTACATATGTATTTAAAATTACACGTGGGTCGATTTTCGAAGTGCCGAGCAACCGGTGGATTCGGGCAGAATAGCCAGGAACAAAGGGTTGGTGATTCAGTGCGAAAACACATCATCATTTGATGATTTGATTGCCTAGGGCTGCATAGAAGGACCTACATACTCCATACGATTATCCCCTACAAAATCCCTTATATTATATGTTACAGACAAGGTCGGGGGTTAATCTTGCCTTAGAACATACATGCAACATATCCAAGAATCCAATAAATACATTATAGGCTATGTGTCCAAGTCTATCTTGATCCATCGGAAACCCTCCTAGTCAACCATGCAGCTACCAACGCAGCACATCCACCAAAGCGTAGCACCCAGCCCACACTATCATCCCACGGCTCCCCTCTTGGCTTCTGATATGCCTTGAAGATAGCACTGCAAACAAGACTAGACAGAATTTGGGGCAGGGAAATAGCCATATTATGCAGTCCAAGGATAATACCCGCCTGGGCAACATCTTCACCATCACTATAATCCTTTGAGCGTCCATGCTCAACATCACTGCCAGCGACACTGTGTTCACCAGGACCCTCGGTCTCGGCCTCAGCTGCATGCTCGTTATATGTAGTTTGAGCTGTGCGGTGATGATTTCGTCTAGAAGGATCAATCCTAGCTACCTCCGCCGAGATGAGAGCGAAGGGAGCCCACAGTGCCACAGCCCAGGAGATACCGATAAGGCCCACAAACGCCGAACCGGCTTTGTAAGAGTAGATGAATAAAGTGCTGAACATGCACGCTGCGAAGAGGAGGTGGGAGAGGAGCCAGACGCGCGGGAGAGTCAAGCCTGGGATGCGCAGACGCGAAAGCCAAGCCGGTTTCTCTTCGGTCTCCTGTCCGACTGGAACAGCGCCGAGTAGAGGCTCAGATGCATTTCCCGTCGGCATACTTGAAAATGATAATCTTCTTGCAGCCGACTCTACATCGTCATCTGAATCGCCGTCTGGAGAATCCCGTTGCGAGAGGTTCTCTGGCGCCGGTCCATATAAGGGGACCACGAAAAGAGGAAGCAACATATTGGCAAGGAAAGAGATGATAGCATAGATGAGGAGAGCCAATGTCCCGACGCGAGTAGCATCTTCCCAGGCCTTATCGAGCTCACCCTCGGAGAGATGGGGGTTCTCTGCGAAAACAGGATTGACGTACAGCTGCCCGACATATGTCGTGGAGTAGTACAGGAATGGGAACCAGCCCACCCACGCCGCGATCTGGACCTGACAGACGCGGGAAATCTGCGTTGGCAAGCTTCGAATCGACTTGATGACCTGTTTGAAAAAGGAGATAACGCCAAGCTTGTCGGTCACAGGCCTGTCTCCTCGGGGATCCCGCTCTTTGATGCAGACACAACTAATGGCAAGGGTTGCGGTCAGAAATACCGAGGCGAGTACACACAGGACCTTGAACTGGGTATTTCCCAAGAAAGGGACAACCTTGGGCAAGTCCATATAGCCAAAGATATACCCCAAGATGTTGCCAACGCCGACCATACGACTAGCCCAGGCGTTGGACAGCTCCTGCTGGTGGGTTGGGCAGTTGTCGACAATGAATGCTCTGATTGCAGCTTGCACTATAAGATGGTAATTAGCCAAGCAACCATAAACGTGGGATATCGGAATGCGCACCGGTGTTGATGGCAAAATCAAGGCAATACATGAAAATCGTTGCCATGATAATGATAACAATCTTGGCCCCTGCAGATGTTGATTCAACACCGAATATAGACAAAAAGCCTCCCACAATCTCTTTCACCCATGCCAGAGCTAGCAATGAAACGATAGTTGCTGCGCCTCCAACGACCATGAATGGTTTCCTCTTACCCCACGCTAGTCGGCAGTTGTCGCTTCGAATGCCGATGTATGGTTGCACCAGCGCACCCGTCAAGGGACTGGCTATCCAAACAAAAGCAAGAAGCGATTTGCTCATCCCGAGGGATAGAAGGTATGGCTGTACCCGGTCAGTATGATATTTTTATCCAATCTTGCAGCTTCAGGATGGAAGAAGATGAAAAGTTAAGATCCAATCATCTTCTGTAAGTCGCGACTTATACTTACCGAACCATTAGAAAGTTCGACAGACCAAACAATCTGAAGTCTATCAAAGAAACCCAAGTCAATACATGGCCAGTATAACAGTCAAAACAGCACATGGGTAAATCGACTCAAATAATCATATGCAAAACTACTTACCCACCAATACACAGAGTCAAAAGAAACATGTACAGCGAATTCTTAGACGACTCATCGGCGTCGGCAAGAGGGCGCACACCACGCCTGTCTGCGGGGTGAGTGGCAACCATGAGAGGCGAGCTCTCGTCGATAGAACCAGGGACAGGCTTGTATTTCGAGTCTCCGATCAGAGAATTAAAGAGTCGGGATTTCAATGTGTTGAATTGGCACCGACTAGGAATAACTCATGGAACCCGGTGATGTGTTTGGATGTGGTCGGGGCAGTTGGAATTTCCACCTGCAGACTGTGGCTCAGGTTTCAGCTGAGCTGAGATATGCTTTTTTGATAGTAGTTGCAGAGAGCGTAGTTTCCCTTAATTAATTTTACAACCCTCCTGTTGGTGGCGGGTAGGGTGGACTGGGTTGTTGGAGTGTGGGGAAGTAGATACCGTCGGAAAGGTGGGGCTATGCTGGGTGTTGACAGCCACGTATCATTTACCAGCCAGATAGAGAGGTTGATGAAGGTAAAAATCGACAGGGTATAGCCCTCCTAATCGATGCGCGGTGTGTCAGATGGATCTATGTTCCTGGGATCCCTCTCACGACTGCAGGGGTTATCGACGTCAGCAACACGTGATGTACCATTTATCCATGAACCATAACAGCCCTTAATCACATCATCGCCACCGTGGACGCATACGAGCAAGAGTACAAGGGAATATTAATAACTAGTTAGAAAGGTTTCAAGTGTTTTTTTTTTCAGATTCCAATTCAAAGTCGTTACATAATATCTGTCTATATAGTGTGATTTGAGGCGTACAAAATAACCTTACCATTCCCAGCCGCTCTTCATGGACAATGCCTGACGATCCAAGAAGAAGCCAACCCGAATCTTTCCCTTCCCAACCCATTTCCCTTTGAGAGATAGTCGAACCTCTCTCGTGCCCATGCCCGCCAGGCAGCATGAAATGAATGTCTGCCAGCGCAACCCAATTCACGTGCAGGGCAGCCGAGACCAATAATACACGGTGCTTCCTGTAACCATCGCAGTGCGAAAACCCAAAAAAGTAACCAAAAGAAACCAAAACAAAATGGACACTGTGTCAAAGACAAGCAAGGACATAACACGCGGGCTATACACGAATATCGCGGTATGTGCAAGGCCAGCATTGGACCATGTGCGATTAAACAGGAGGCGATATAAACCCCGAACCAAAAAAAAGGACGCCTGTATGCGCCCCGAAGACTCTGAAGAGAAAGGAGAACTGAAACATTCGCTCGGAACATCCCCGATAATGAGTACACGAGGTGATGCATCTACTTTCTTGCGGTAGACACACCGTGCTACGTAGTATTCTCACATGTGTTGTTGGAGAAGTTGCGGAGCGATCATGTGTGAAGTAGGCATACCGGTCAGGGCGGACGGCATGCTCAAAGGAGCTGCCATCGACGTCATGTTGGGCATGCTAATCATTGTGTGAGCGGGCTCCGGTGGAGACATCTCTTCCCTGGGAGAATCGAATTCATGTGCATCATTCTCCAGATCTTCGTCGGTTGGAACAATTGTCTGACCATCCTGCTGCGCTTCATGGATACGACGATGTCTAGCGACTATTAGCGCAAGTTTTATAAGAAATAGAATAATAATAACTTACTGCGCAAGATTATCGGACCTCGAGAAAGCTTTGCTGCAATAAGGGCAGGGGTACGGACGCTCTTGTGTGTGAGTTCTCACGTGTCTAGGAACAGGGGTTAGTCGGCGGCTATCAAGACGATCTCACCGGTGCACGGTGCAGATCAGCCCCACCAACGTGGGTGCAAAAATAGAAGTAAGCTTACCTTTTGAGGTGCTCTAATCTCTTGAAGGTTCTACCACATGACGGGATAGGGCAAGAGTGGGCCTTGGTAGGATACGGTCCCAACTCCATCATGGTTGCACTCCTGGCTCTCCGAGTAGGACCAGGCGCCGAACGCTCGGACCGACCAGTAGGGTTTTGAACCGCAGTCTCGATAGCACCACTGCTTGGCAGAGATGTCAGATCATTGGATTGGTTTGCCATTGAGCCTGAATTCTGTGCAGCGCTTTGATCCAGGCTCTGCAGCGGCGTGCCATGACGGGACATTTCATGAAGAAGGTCCTTTTGTGGCAGCATCGCACTTGGGTAAGTGCGAGCGAGTTCCTGGGTCGCTTCATCCCCATCTGCGACTGGAGCGACTGAGCTAGAAACCGAACGCCGCAGATCACTTGGTCTGTGAGCAGCGTACGAGACTGACTGAACTCCCGGAGTCGTTGATTGGACATGAGCTGCGCCACTGGGTGCGACAGCACCGGTATTGGGCGGGATAGATGACCTGCGTCTGCGCTGCTTGTATGTCGGGGATCCCTCAATGACAGGATACGGGTTTGCCGAGAAGGACCGTGGCGCAGGCTGATAGTGAGCACTAGACAGATTCGAAGGAGGCAGCTGCATCATAGGGTGGTAGGCGGGTCCACTTGAAATATCTGGAATCGCCGTGTAAAGTCCGGTGTCTTCGTTGGCGATGTAAGCCGGTTCCCCTCCGAGTCCGACCGAATGCTGCGGCGGGGTGACTGGTTCGAAGGACAGGCCGCGATTGCTGTAGTCCTCATATTGCGAAGATACAAAGGATGGCGCAGGAGAGTACTCGTAGAAGGTCGGCATGGAGGAATGGCGCTGATGAGGGCGGGGAATGGGCATTCCGTGGCGATCGTACTGGACGTGGCCGTAATCCTGCTCGCGCTTAATGATGCTCTGGACTAGATTGTTCGAAAGGGGCATCTGTTGGTGGCTGTACATCTGATTCCCAGAATCGTCTTGCATCAGAGGGATCGCTGGGGGAGCCATCTGCGGAGGAGGCATTGCGTCAACGGTCCGAACCACGGGGGAGTTGGGCTGGCCATATGTCGTACTTGCGTGGGCAGCGAACGAGTTCAGATTCACTTGTTGTGACTTGGTCAATTGCTCATACAGAGACTGGGACGAGTCGAATTCAAAGGACATGGCCGGTTCGCTGACTGCGACCGTGGTGGCCTCCTGGTTCATTTTCTCGCGCTTCAAGTCCCGTTCCAGTGCATCGAGGAATAGCCGGTCGTGGGGCACGCCGTACCAGTAAAACACCTTTTGCTTCTTTTGGGTCCGAATACAGTTGTTTTTGTACAAGAAGTCCAGGAACGGGCTCTTTGGGTCCTCCAGGACCGCGTCTACGCCGGCCTTGAGATTTCGTAGATCCGAGAAAATGCCCTCCTCAAATTTTTTCGAGTTCTTCACCGGACGTCCAAAGGCTTGGAATCGAAATGCAAGACATCGGACAATATCGGTACCGGAGATGTGGAAAAGGCCGCTCCTATTCGAACGGGGTCAGTCAGCGTTCCCAAGCCATCATGCTCTTAGAGTGAGACGAACCAGTAAACACAAGAGACATAGTCGCCTGTGGGAAGCAAAAAGCGTCGAATGAGTTGATCCGGTTGCCAGTCAACGGGAGCTGACAGAAGGAAATATTTCACTGGCCCCAGGTCAATACATTGCTTTGATGCGGGGATAAAAGACCCAAACACATACGATTATCCACTTGCTGGAGAGCAACTTGCGCGTCGTGAGGTAGGCTTCGCTGTGCTTCGGTGGAGAGCATAAAAGTTTCGGGTTTTTGGGGCGGTGCCATGGGGATTGGAGCACCTGGTTGAGGATACATTTTTTATTTTTCTGTGTGAAGCGCACTGTATAGATGATTAGCACTGGGGAAAAGACCGTGTGATAACGCATGCGCAAACAAAGAGGCGATCTAAGTCCAATCAAAAGACCCCTCTGCGACTCTGAGACATAGCTGCAAGACCTCGGATCAAACTCACCAGCTGAATGATTCAACAAGATATCGGAAGTGCGAGGATCAACGTCGCCAACCAGTAAAGATGTTATCCGATCGGGAGAAGTTCTAGATCACACGAATGCGCGTAAAGGGTTTAAAGAAACGGAGGAACCAGCCTCATAGACAAAGAGAAAGAAAGAGAGATTGTCAGAGATGGAACTGGACCAGCCGGTAAGCCTCTGGGGAATATTCGCGCGCAGCGGAAGAAAGAAACGAAAGTGTAGAGGAAGCTTGAGTGGTGAAGAAGAATGAAGGGGGGGAAAGAAGATACAGTTCTAATAATAATCGAAGCTGGGAAGCGCCCAGGGACGTCTGACCGGTCAGAAACTAGTATGTTATTTTGGGTCAGTATTAGTCATAACGGATGGAGGACTTATTATCCGTTGTTAATGGTCCATGGCTGTTATTTATGTTATTTATGTTATTAATCTGGTATTGCGTGTTATTTACACTGTATCTATCTGTCATTTACAAAGCAAAACAGGAAATCAAGTTTATTCAAGTTCAGGCACAACATCCCATCGATTGTACATACTTTCATACTTCGGCCCTGGGCTATCTTTGGTTGTGTCAAGTTAATACAATAATACAATAATCACAATAACTTGTTACTCTTTATAGCTTGATATCAAAACAAGACTCTGTTCTTGTCAACAAAGCGAATGTAACCCCCCCTTTCTCAATTCTTTTATACAATATTTGTATATTTGTATAGTATTGCATGTCAAAATTGATGATTGGCCCAATCCACATGGTGACCAGACTGCATAAACAAGTGATAAACATATCACTTACCACATTCAGAGATCCTTCTAGACTAAAAAGTCGTGTGAGTCCAACGGGAAAATAGGTGGAGACAGCCAAGGCTCATCAAACTGGCGCTGCGACCTGAAGCACCCGCCCTGTCGTTTCAGAATCACAGTGGGCGCTTACTTGCAGAAACCTCCCGAATTTTCCCCTGGTATTTTCTCCGAGCTCTAGTGCACTTGGTATATAAACGGGTGTGGCTTTGGGATCGTCTATCCGGTATTTCCGACTGATCTCTTTTTTGGCCCACTAAATGAGACTCGTCTAATAGGGATAAAGTACGGACGGAGTATTTCCGTACAACGTTGTATTTTGAAGGATTACTACCGCTTAATTCTACATGGACGCAAAGTCCCCAAAGTTGTACCTGAGTACTTTCTATTATGCAAACCAAGCCAGATAGAAATGTATTTGTGTACCTTCGCTCTGTACCTGTACTCTG